CTAGGGGAAACACTGTATACTGTTTTTACAAAGTAGACGAAGCCTGAAGTAGATGCAGCCTTGGTGAGCCTAGACTTTGTTTTTTATTAAATATGTTACCGACCCCAATATTTGAATGTTAGTGGTCACATGCAGATGGATGTTTATGGACGTTGTGTGTCTAATATCAATAATGAATCTTCCTTGCTTATTTGTACATTCATTCACCCTGGAAACCAATATATTAACGCTAGTACTTTTCACTTTTACACTCTTTACTACAAACAGCAAATCACAACTAGATCATGTAGACAGCTCCGCTGACTTTAATAATGAATTTGTTTTAAATTATGAAAATGTCTTTTTTGCACATCCGTACATAGCTCATGTGTCAAAGCATGGCACGAGGTGCTGAGACAGAGCGGCAGTTGTGGGAGCCCATGAGCCCATTAAAAGTATTCAGGGGTGGTTTGTAATCAGCCGCTGGCTTAGAGGACAGCCATTTGTCTTTAAGCACCCTCAGACTGTGGCACTTCATCCTCTCTTGCTTTCTCTTTCTCCCTCTCTCTCTCTCTCTTTCTGAAAGCCACTCTTCATCATCTTAACTTAGGTTCAGACGGATGGAGTTTCAGGAAGTGCAGACAGACAACATGCTTCTCTGCCCCTCATTGGCTGAATATAGAGCCTAGCATCTGGGAGACGGTGACAAAAGATAGCTGCACGCTGTGCTCCGAAATGCACTTAATTGTTTACCCTCGCTTTGTTGTTGTCTGATTGAGAGTGATTACAAAGGTGCGTTTCGGTATGTTTAATGCGAGTTTTATTTGGAAGATGAGCATGCTCTTCTAAAAACAGTGTCGCCACACAAAAAGTTGAAACTCTTCTGTTCCATTTTTTATCATGTTTATTTGAGAAAACCTCTTCGTCTGTGAAGATATTCATATTGTCTATTTATTTTACATGATTCCAGAGGAAAAAAACAACAACAACAAAGAAATACATTCTTGTCTGTCGAGACTCTGACGAGAAGTGCCGCGGAATTGTTTTCCCTCTCCAAACATATGACTTTTTCTGAGAATATGACAGTGAGCCGTGCTTGCTTGAGTGGATTTTTTTATGTAATACATAACATGTAATACAGATAACTGTACACTGCTCTCAGTTATCAGTCCAGTACGGCTATCAGTCAGTGCGGCTTAGTGTGCCTCTTCGCAACAGTTGCTTGTTGCACACGCGTGCGTGAGCGTGTATGTGTGTTTGTAGGTGTGCTGAAGTGTGGAAAATGAGTAGGCTGAATCCTGCTACTTCCAGCCTGCTGCATATAATCAGCCAGAGGGCTTTTAACAGAAGCGTGCCATTAACACAGGACCAGCTTCTTCACAAGCTAATAAAGACCCAAATGGATTAGGACCGTTAAATCAGTCTGATTTAAACTGGTCGCTGTTTTTCCATCGGATGACTCCGTAGTGTTGTGTGCGTGTGTGCGTGCATTTCTGGCCTTTTTCCAGTGCAGGTACAAAACTTCTCCCTCTCTCTGTCACGATTTGATGCATTTATGTCTGCTAGCACCTGAATTTGTGCTGTGAATGCCGCAGACCGCGTACTTGAGAGGACACAGACATTGTAAATCCAAGCTGCGGTCCCCAAACACCTGCTGCTTAGCATGGTATCTGTAAAGAGAGGCCCAGCGGATGGATGCTTAAAATGACAGGTTATGTGAAAAGTTGTGTGTGTGTGTGTTTTATTTTCGGTACAAATAAGAGGATCAGAATATTTTAAGTGAATAGTGGCTGAACGTATAAACAGAAGTGTACAAAATAATAATTTATTTGTAAATCTGAAGTGCTGTTCAATAATAGAACAAAATCAAAGAACTATACATAAGCAAGTAGTGAGATAAGAAAAGATGATTACAATAACTATTCATTTATTTATTTATAATAATAAATAGAAATAATTACTACTAATAATAAGTATTTATAAGTAATAGTAATAGGTAAAAAAAACAAAAAAACATTACAACATCAACGTGAAGGCCAAAAATAAAAAAGCACATTATTAATGAATTACTTATTTAATTATTTTAAAAATATTAAGTAATAATAATAGTTAACTTTACAACATCCACGTTAAGGCCAAAAAATAAAAAGGCACAATTTTCAAAATAATATTTCAAAAGTGAAAATAAAATGTTTAAATATTCAGTGGAATATACAGCATAAGACAAAAATTAATCAAACAGACAATATGATTTATAACGGAAAGTATACACTGTAAAAAAAAATCTGTAGTTTTTACAAAATAATTTTGGCAGCTGTGGTTGCCAGAATAATTTTGTAAAAAATACAGAAAAACTGTAAACACATTTACGGCCAAAAACTGTACATTTTACAGTATAAAACTGTAATTTGCAAACAAGAAAATTTGAATGTAAACCAGTAAATTCAACAATGCACACTGCTATTAAAATCTGTTTTGTACCTTTAACATACTGACAACCACCATAATAATGCAGGTGGTAAAAGAGAAAGCCACATGAAGAATCAAAGCTCATCACAAGTAGCTTCGCCACAAGCAGAAGTATATACTAATATATAGAAGGTGCACAGAGTCATTCATGCAAACACAAAACACCATCATGGTAACACACATGATACTTAAATAATGCATTAAACTTTCATTAAACAACAGAAGATGTAACATAAAGCCCAAATATACATAACTAATAACAAAAACTATTAAAAAAACATGATTATTTAAACAAAATACTTTCAAATGTGGAGTATCATGCAGGGAATTCTGGGAATATCAGTTTACAGTTTTTGACTGTAAATTATACATTGATTTGTTATTTTTACTTCAAAAAACTGTAAAATTAACAGAATTTTACTGTAAAATTACATGAAATATCTGGTTAGATATTTTACAGTTTTTCCCTGTATATAGTATGGGAACTTACTGTTAACCTATTAACAGTTTTTTTCCGTAGCGTTTTTACAAAATTTTACAGTTAAAATTACACTTATTGTTTACAGTGTACTTACAAGTGAACATTAAGGAAAATGTCCTGTTGTTATATAATTCTGTCGTCTTAACAGTACAAAGCTTGTAGTTTAAGTGTTGATATACAAACTAGTTTGAACCAGATATTGGGTTTGGTTGTGCTGTGTTTAGAACTAGAACTGCAGAATGGATTGTTTGTGAGCTTATGAAAGACATTTCACACAGTAAATGATAAAATAAGTTAAGCACACATGAAAGGCGTGTCTCCTTTCTCACCTGCATTGGCATGTGCGTTTCTCAACTCCTTGCACGGATTCTTCCCCATAATGCACAAATTCAATTACAGCCTCTATTTTAAATTCAATTTCACGTCACAGCTGAAGTTCCCACATTAGCCACATCACACTTAATTAGGTTTCCTCACTCTGTGAAATGCCGATTAGCATCAAGTATTACTTTCTGGCTGCCAGCTCAGTCTGAGTTACACGTTGAGTTACAGCATGAATCAAGCAATCACGCTTTAGTTTGCAGATCATTTCTTTTTCATGCGCAATATTTCCCCTGCACTCATTCAGCATTGTGAGTAATAGAGGGCCGGTTATGTAAGGAGGAGGCAGTGTTGTGTGCAAAATGAACAGGTGGCTCAAGCTCCTAAGCACAGACTTTTTCTTGTGCCACCTCCCCACAATGTGTGCCTTTGGCCTCCTCTTCCTAAAAAAGGCAAACTTCCAGTTGGTCTGGAAACAATTAGAAAAGGTTCTAGACCGCCAAGGAATCTTTGTCACAATGTCAGCAAATTAAGTGGCTTAATTTTCTCTCTTTTTCCCATCTTTTGTTTCAACAGGCAGTCCATCCAAGTCGACCCACAGGCCAAAACAGCAACATTCCCAGCAGCAGCAGCAGCAGCCTCACAAGGGAGCGAAGGCTGGCACGAACGTCCGCTGCAGACCAGCACAGTCGGCCTTGGGAAGAGAGGGCTTGCAGCAATGGCGGAGGAGGATTGCGGGAGCCGCTACGGAGAGCTGAAGGTGGGCAGTCTATGTCTGAGGTACCGGGGCCCCGGAAGACGGAGCACCCGGGGCCGTCTCAGATCCCTCGGGCCGTGGCCGGCAGTAGTGTGAGCCTCCACAGCAAGGCCAGTCCCTCAAGCAGCCTGTCCTCAGACAGCGAACGGGGGCCGCGGAGCGAGCGAGGCCCTATTCCCAGGCTTCAGTCCTCCTTTACTGGCCGTCTGGGTCAACCGCCCCGTGGGCCTCTGTCTTTACACATGTACAGCCGAAAGAACGTCTTCCTACAGCACTCGCTCCATACAGCCGAACTGCAGGCTCTTGCTCAGCAGGACGGTTGAAAACACACACACACACACACGCGCATACCGAACACTGACACATGCCTCAGATGGATGCAAACTCTCGGTGCAGTTCCTCAGTGACCGCAAGTACCTTCAGACCCACTTGTACTCAGTTACATTCAAGGCTATTTTTCCTCTCAAACCTCAAATGAACTTTAACCGCACACCGAGACTCATCTTATCCTTTGTGGAGTTAAAGTAATCATCTATATTAAGAGTCAAAACCAATCCGTCGTCTGCACTACTTAAGCCTTTTTGAAGAAATAGTATATGCTGCTCCGATAAGTACTTTAGATTGACGGTCTATTAAGGTGAGAGATTCACTCGCAACACTATCACATTGTACAGCTCTGCTGAAATGCTAGAGAGGATGTCGATATTTTGTGTTCCATTATATTATTAAAAGAAATCCAGGGTCCAACATTAATACTTAACAAGACTCAAATTCAAGTAAAAAATTGGTTTTGGCAAGTTAATTTAACAATTTGGTAACCCGGTAACTCCATTATGAACTATAACATAGTGCTGTAAGTGATCAATTAAATTTCGGACATAAGAACAGTCTATTAAAACCAAAAGTTTCTTGTGTTTTCCAGATCTCCATTTGGTGACAAATTACCGTTCAAATGTTTGGAGATTTTTTTTTTATGCGTCTTGAAAGAAGTTGGTTATGCTCACCAAGGCTGCATTTATTTAAGATTGTGATAAACAGTAATATTTTTTAAATATTATTATAATTTAAAATAACTTCAATATATTTTAAAATGTAATTTATTGCTGTGACGGAAAACCTAATTTTTAGCAGCACTTATTCTAGGTTTCAGTGTCACACGATCCTTCAGAAATCATTATAATATGCTGATTTGCTGCTCTAGTAACATTTCTTCTTTTTTTCAAGGTTGAAATCTGTTTTGCGGCTTAATATTTTTGTTGAAACCGTGTTTTTTTTTTTTTTTTCAGGATTGTTTTATGAATTTATTTGAAATAGAAATCCTTTGTAATATTGTAAATGTGTGCAGTCACTTTCGAATAAATCAACTGAATGCATCCTTGCTGAATAAAAATAATCTCTTAAAAAAAAAAACATACGGTCCCCAAAATTTGAACGGTATATTTGATGTATGTGGAAATGTAAATGCCACCATAATCAAAATATTGTGGACAAAATCATGTTTTTGTGGAAGATGTGAGAAACTGGCACAAAAAAAAGACTAATTTTGTATTGGTCATAAAAATACAGCTTCACGACGAGTACCAAAAATGTTTGGCCGGTTTCTCAATTCACCCACCAGCAGTGTGCCAAAAAGTTAATTTTGGACCCAGTAGAACCTTTTTTAAAGTTTTCAAAACCTTTTTTACTCCAAGCCTTTGCCTAGACTCACATTTATTGACTTGCTTATTAGATTGAGCTCAATTAGTAGTGATGTTTATAATAGTAGGTCATACAAATAGTCTAGCACATTGTTTTGCACCTGGAAATGTGACACTGAAGAACCGTGCATATATTACCAAATCAATCCTCAGTCGAAGAGAGAGGGCACGGAAACTCTTGCTGCCGGTGAGAATTACCCACGTGTTGTCAGACCACTTTTAGGGAGTTTAACACTCATTAGCCTCTTCTAATTGCAAGCTATGCTTTCTCTTTTTTTCATTTTTCATTTTTTCTGCAAACAAAAATAAAAGATTTTTTCGCACTGAATCTAAGCTAAAATAGGTTTGACAGCCCTTGTGGAAGGACTCAGTGAGAACCTTGAGTCATAAACACTTAGACCTCAAGGCAGCTGGACTTCAAGAAAGAAATGCCCTTCATTAATCAAAGAAGTAGAACCCTCTTTGCAGAAAAAAAACATTATTACATTTGCCACAAGTGAGACTTTGAATTTTCATTAAAAAAAGATGGCAAATAAATGTAATTAAACATGTTGGTAACTTCAACTGCCTCATACAGTGCACTCTCTTAAGACAGGCGGTTGAAATGAGGAATGGCCTCATTGTGGCAGCGATTGGGAGAGCGTTAGTTTAAAGTTGGGACAGTGCTGACCCGGCTTTGCGGATCAGGAGCTCAAGCAAGGACGCATGGAGGAGAAGGAAACCCTGAAGAAATGCAGTTCCATCTATCCAGCAGGTCTGCTCCCTGAGGTCCAGTGCTCTAATTTCAGCAATCTGTTGGGAGCACCATCAGCTTCCTCTCTCTCTATCTCCTTCTCCCTCCCAGACCTACTTCCAGCTCTCTGTGTGATCAGGCTCTGGGAGAGAAAGGCTTTAGCGCGCGGTCTCACCACTACATGCTCCGATACTGAAATTTCACTCCCTTAAACTGGATCGTGTTTGTTCAAAAATGAACATTTGGTAAACAAATGTTAAATATGAACTAAAATTGGCTTTGATTTGTACAGTACATAAAATTATTGGGAATTGATTATTAGGGTTGAGCTTCCAAAATGAAAATTCTGATGACAGAAGTATATAATTATAATAATTTAATAAACATTTAATATATACATTTTACATTACTAATGATTTAATATAATTAATTATAATTAATAATATTTTTAAAGTAAACTTTGTGCATTGTTTTATATATATAAAAAAATAATATACAATTTTTTTTTTATAAAAAAAAAAAAATGCTTCATAAAACCATGGTCAGATTTATTGACCATGGTCTTATTGACCATTTTTAATATTTATTTTTTCATGTTTAAATCTGCTTAATTTATCCATATGCAAGGCAAACGGTTAATTTTGGGCGCTGCTTACGGTATTTCAGAATGATTTCAGGAGAGCAGACTGCTGTAAGTCACCCAATTTGAGACAATTCAGCCCTCGATAACTGCAGTCAGCAATACTGTTTAAATTCTGAGTGGGTGCCAGTTTGTGACTGGTGAATGTTAAATGCGTGTTCCCAGAGGCAGGAATTGTCCTCGTTCCTTCCCGAGCCTCCCTTGTGTCTTTGACTCATGACTTTAAACCACACGTTTGAGCCGTGATGCTTGAAGGACGGACTTTTAAACAGACTTGAATATGCGGGATCATGGGTAGAATCCGTGCAAGAGCCGGAAACTCATGGATCTCAAGTGACTCAATCATTAACATGACTATATGTGCAGTCACATTTCTGAATTCAGAATTCTTTATCATTGAATAGATATTTATTTGGCCTTATTTATTATGTAATATAAAACGACTATCAGCTTTTATTTGTTTGTCTGGACTCTTTGTATCAGTGCATTTAAAATTGTCTTTGTGGCAGATGCTGTTGCTATGCCGAAATCATCTCTTACATCATTTTGATACTTTTATTCTTTTTGTTCATCAGTATGTACATGGTTTGCATATAAAATGGCACTTTTAAGAGATTTAAACCCTAATGAGATTTGAAATAACCTTTATCTGTATCTATTCTCTCACTGGTGGTTTTCATTATGATGTTCTGATTTTCACCAAATGTAATATATTCGCTCATTAAAGACCGATATTTTAAAAAGAAATGAGTTTTGATACATGTAAGCCCTAGTTTTTGTTATTAATAGGATGTTTTCCACATTTGTGCTTTCCATTAACTGTTTTGCCAGCACTGCTCCATCAGTACACCTGCTCCTTGATGTTTGACATCATTTTTAACGTACGTGGAGGGTACACTGTAAGCAATATTACTGTTACAATCATCATCTCTGGAAACTAGGCAGGAAAATGCTATTGCTTTGATGGCCTGCAGTGCTCTAAAGCGAGCCTTTTCTCTGGCCTGCCCTTGCTTCTTGGTGAAAAGATAAAATGTATGTCTTCCTTCTCGAAACATCCTCTGGAAATTGCTTATTGTGTTTCCTTTAGTGTATTGCATCAGACTGTAAGGCTCGAAAGCCTGTGCGAACTTCACAAGGTCCCTATCTAAATCACTCTCTTTCTCTGATTTCTGTTCAGGCTTCACAGTCAGCTTCAAATGTCCAGGTTTCACAGCACATATCGTTGCTACTCTTAGTCATCCATAACAAGTTTTCTCCAGCTAAAAGGAGGGCAGATGGAGACCCTCAACTTCTGGGCAAAAGTAATTGCACTGCTCCGCAGGGAGGAAAACCGGTACCGTAGAACTCTGGGAATGACAAGTGTTTGTTGTCTTGATGTGGCGGTGGGCTGTCTTTGATGCACAGAGGTGTATTTTCCTGTCACTGCTCAACTGTGTCTTCAGAAATTTATTGTGGTTATGTGTGACATCTGCGTGAGAAATTCTCATGAATCTTCTCCAAAAATATTTTGTTTCCACTGTTGCCAGGGCTGTTTTTTCACAGTTTCTTTTTGAATTTTTTTCTTGGTCATTCAGTCTTCATCTCTCTGTGACTTAAATTTATATTTCATATCATCATTTAGGCTGTTTTCATACCTTAGAGAATTTGATGGGTGAATCTGGTGTGTTTTTGTATAGGTATATATGGACACGGCAGTCAAACTCAGGTCAGCCCCAGAACAAACATAAGAACTCTGGAAAAGATATGACTAAAGAACCATCCAATATCCTTTCCGATAAAGTGAAGTGATAAATGATATATACTGTTGACAACCATGAGTATATGATCTGTGGAGGAAACATGCCTCTTCTTTTAATGAATCTTCTGAGAAAAGGTGCTTTTTATTAAAAGAAGAGGTTTTCATTGCTAATTACAATGATGTGCAAACACACCTATTTAATCTCCATTCTGTACACTACTGTTCAAAAGTTTGAGGTTTTTAAGATTTTGTAATGTTTTTGAAAGAAGTCTCTTATGCTCACCGGGGCTGCATTTATTTGATCAAATTTTTATTTAAAAATGTCATTTATTCCTGTGATGGCAAAACTTTAGTGTCACATGATCCTTCAGACCTCATTCTAATATGCTGATTTGGTTTGAATAAAAGTATTCATTTCCTTCATTATTTTCTTCTTAAAAAAAAAAACTCTTACCAACCACAAACTTTAGTTTATATGGTCTGAAAACAAACTGAGCAAAGAGAAAATGAGAATGCAGATTTGTAACAACTTAGTCCTTGTTTTGGAACATCCTTACTCTACCTGATGTTGTTCTAAACCCATATGACGTACTTTCTTTCACGAAACTCGAAAGGATGTACTGAAAAGTTTTAATTTGTCCCTCACTGTCCGTATCCATCCAACTTGTCAGTTTGTCACTGATGCTGTAACATCATCCCGCATTCGCATTCATTGTGTGGAAAAGAGCGACCTACATTCCTCACAATTTCTCCTTTTGTATTCCACGGAAGAAAGAACATCATTCGGGTTGGGAACGACCAGATGCTACTTCTGATATTGCTGAACTTGTCTATGTCCAAAACGCTTGGGGCCTGTGGCCTGCCAATGAGAGTACCCATGCTGAGTTGATGCCCCCCAATCTCCCAGAAGGTCGTAGTGCGCCAACAACTGTGACTGTTGCCCGCTGCACCCCACTGGCATGCCCATCTCCCTATGGTGCCCGGAGCAATGCCCTCTACTCTCACCCTGCCCAAACACGCTGGCATGCTGAGCCATTCTTGGAAGCAAGAAGAGACAAGTTTGCCAGCTTACTTTTCCCACAGGGTGTTGCTTTCTCTCCAACAACTGTGGAATGAAACAAAGCAGTGGGAGATGAGCGAGAGCAGCCCACACAGCTCCTGGGTGGTAAAGGCAGTGCCGTTTATTTCTACGGT